GCGCGTCAAATTCACACCGCGGGTACCCCGGGAAACGGAATAACTAATGATCGAAGGGTACACAATCCGTGTACCCTTCGATCATTAGTTATTCCGTTTCAAAATAAAATCAGAAAAACACATTTTCCATTTGTTTATTGTTATTTTCCTTTTCTAAATCAAATTGGAAAATCAAATCCTTTATGCTTCAATATCAATGTGTTTGTTTTGGCTCTAGTTGTTTAAAATTCTCAAAAGAATTATGGCATTACTATTATTTTGTTTTATTATTATTTACGACACCGGAAGAGAGAAGAGACCTCGCGGAAGGGGGGCTACAGACGCGGGGGTGGGACTCCCCTGGTCCCAGGGTACCCGCGGTGTGAATTTGACGCGCGGGGGATAAAGGACCAGAAAGTTATGGCCCTTGGAAACCACCGGGGGACCGCGCGTCTACCATCCGCCCAAGAGCGCTCATTTTGGGGGAGGAGAACCTCGGCTTCCAGGGCTTGTCAAAAACGAACCAGGGGTGCTAGAGACACGGGGTTTTCACCCACGCACTCCTCCGGTTCTGGACTATCACCGGGGAGGGCTTTGCTCCCGCTCAGACCCAGGCCTGAGCACTCATTCTGGGGGAGGAGAAGACCGCAGCAGCAGGGTCAGGAGGCACGCTGCTCCATACCCCCGTGCTTTACGGCCATACCACCTTGAGAATGCCCGATCTCGTCTGATCTCGGAAGCTAGGCAAGGTCGGGCCGCGGGGGCCAGCCGCGTATAGTGGGCATATTGTTGATTGGCACTGAACTGAAACTCTATTCTCTATACAGATTGTTTTGTCAAATACTACTGTTTGCCCTGAAATATTATCAATAAAAAGAAAGACTTCAATAATGTATGACATTATAATATATTTATTGTGAACAGATGAAAAAAGAGATATTTACAAATTTAAGAAATACACTTAGAAGAAAAACAACAACATGCTATCTTTATCTTCTTAAACTAGTATTTGTGTGATGAGCCCTGTGACTGTGACGGCTGAGAGCTGACTATACAGAACTGTAGATGCAGACTTTACAAATGAAATTATATAATTAGATATAATCAATATTAATATTGCAGACAATATGAAGACATTTTCATTCTTTCCTGGCCGGGTCACTGTGATTTTTCGCAAGGGCCCACGTGGATTCCTGCTGCAGGACCCTTCGGAGGAGGCGAGGAAGATCAGGGACGACCCGTCCATGAGGGAGTGCGGTGCTCCTCTGAGGGAGGAGGTGGTGAGGGAGAACGCCCTCACTCTGGTGCGAGTGAGAGGAGGTGATGCCTCAGACAAGGCTGAAGTGCTGGGGGAGTACATCGCTCACAGCAGGCAGTAAGACCAGCACAGTGCCTGCTGTCACTCTAATGTCACTGCTGTCTGAGGAGGCCATAGAGAAGGTTGTGCAGCGGATCTTGGAAAAGCAGCAGCAGCCTCCAGCAAATAAACCCCACACAAAGAAATGCCTGTCTTGTGGCCAGCCAAAATCCAAAAATGAGGGCGATGGCAGCTCCATCCACGAGTTTTACCAGCAGGGTCCTACCAGGTATTTCTATTGCTCCACCAAGGTCTATAACACCTATCGCACAGAGGGTTTGACCAACTCCAGGATGCCATTCCGAGACTTTATGGACACTGAGTTCTACCAGAGAGAGCTGGAGGCCACGCAGCAGAGAGTGAATGAGCGGCAGGAGAAGAAAAGGAAGAGAGATGAGTCTCCTGCCACTGGGAGAAAGTGTGGGTTCTGCAAACTGCAGCTGAAGCAGGGACCAAACAGTCCTCACATTCATACACAATTCCCCGGTCTGTCAGGAAAATACATCTACTGCCCTGCCAAAGTATTCTCCCTGTACAAGGACCAGGGGATGGAGACGCAGATGTTCCAGCAGTCTCCTTTTTATGACCGGGAGAGGGAAAGGTGGCGTGTAAATAAATGAGCTATCTGCTGTCTATTGGTGCTATTGTATATAGTTACTATATTATACCTGTCTGTTCATAAATGTTTGTAAATATTCTAATTATTATGTAAATATATACTTAATATTGATTATATCTAATTATATAATTTCATTTGTAAAGTCTGCATCTACAGTTCTGTATAGTCAGCTCTCAGCCGTCACAGTCACAGGGCTCATCACACAAATACTAGTTTAAGAAGATAAAGATAGCATGTTGTTGTTTTTCTTCTAAGTGTATTTCTTAAATTTGTAAATATCTCTTTTTTCATCTGTTCACAATAAATATATTATAATGTCATACATTATTGAAGTCTTTCTTTTTATTGATCATATTTCAGGGCAAACAGTAGTATTTGACAAAACAATCTGTATAGAAAATAGAGTTCAGTGCCAATCAACGATATGCCCACTATACGCGGCTGGCCCCCGCGGCCCGACCTTGCCTAGCTTCCGAGATCAGACGAGATCGGGCATTCTCAAGGTGGTATGGCCGTAAGCACGGGGGTATGGAGCAGCGTGCCTCCTGACCCTGCTGCTGCGGTCCTCTCCTCCCACAGAATGAGCGCTCAGGCCTGGGTCTGAGCGGGAGCAAAGCCCTCCCCGGTGATAGTCCAGAACCGGGGGAGTGCGTGGGTGAAAACCCCGTGTCTCTAGCACCCCTGGTTCGTTTTTGACAAGCCCAGGAAGCCGAGGTTCTCCTCCCCCAAAATGAGCGCTCTTGGGCGGATGGTAGACGCGCGGTCCCCCGGTGGTTTCCAAGGGCCATAACTTTCTGGTCCTTTATCCCCCGCGCGTCAAATTCACACCGTGGGTAGGACCAGGGGAGTCCCACCCCCGCGTCTGTAGCCCCCCTTCCGCGAGGTCTCTTCTCTCTTCCGGTGTCGCAAATAATAATGAAACGAAATAATAGTAATGCCATAATTCTTTTGAGAATTTTAAACAACTAGAGCCAAAACAAACACATTGATATTGAAGCATAAAGGATTTGATTTTCCAATTTGATTTAGAAAAAGAAAATAACAATAAACGAATGGAAAATTTGTTTTTCTGATTTTATTTTGAAACGGAATAACTAATGATCGAAGGGTACACGGATTGTACACGGATTGGATTGAAAGCATTATTCAATATTTAGTTTTTTCATTTTTTGCATTGAAACAAAAAATCCAATATCAAGCCAATTTTTCGTTTTTCCCTTCCCTCATCAAAATGGAAATTCAAGCCATTTTTTTTATATTTCATTTTCAATTTTAATTTGAAAAAACAATTGAACAAAAAATACTTGGACCCTTCGGGTCTGAATCTGGGTCACGGTGCTGTGGATGCGCTCACATGCTGCAGCAGGGTCTGCTGATGGAGGGATGTACATGCACAGAACTAAGGTGTTCAAAAACTCCTGCAGCAAATATCTGGGCCTCATATTTACAGCGAGCAGCTCCAAGTGCCGGGTTCAGATGCATTTAGTCACATAAACATGAGCCGGGTAGTCCTCATTCACGTACGGCTACTGCCCCGCCCTTCTTTTTGCCTCTCCCCACCACACTCCGGTCTGCACGCCTAAGTTTAAATCCCTCCAGAGAGACCACAGAGTCCAGGGGCATTCTCACACAGCCACGTCTCAGAGATTGTCTGTATTCCCTCTGATGGCGGGCCAGTGCAGTCAGCTCCTCCGTCTTGTTGTAAATGGACCGTACGTTTCCCATTATGATAGAGGGGAGGTACGGTCTCCTCTTCTTCTTGCGGCCTCCTCTGGAGCCTCTGCGTCTCCTGCGTATCTCCACGAGGATCACCGGCTTCTCAGAGTGCAGGAAAGAGTCTCTTAGTCTGAGAAGCTGCTCCCGGGTGTAAACAACGTGGGACTTGTGGCGTTGTAAGCGGAAGAATCAAAAAGTGCCAAAAACATGATAAACCTTGCAAAAAGTCCAACAAGACAAGCTCTCCCGTGTGCACTAATGCACAATGTAACACCTACTTTAAAGAAAAATAATAAAAAAGAACATCTACAAGAAATAAATAGAGAATAAAGTTGGAAAGAGGAGAGAGCCAAAGGGACTAGCTGCACAGCGGGGGCTGGCGCCGGAATGTATGTGCATATTTGAAGCTTGTCCGTGAATACGTTTTGTGACATAGTAGTTGGACTCGGACTGGGTCAGGATATCCTGAGACCCATGTTGCAGATTCTGCCTCGTTCTCATTACTGTCTGTGTGAAGAAAGCTCACGTATGAGTCTGTTGTGTACAAACCACAGCAATGTGCCTGCTGTTTTTTTTAACTCTGCCTTTTGGTGCGTGTGGTTTTCTATGTTGACACTTTGCTGTTATGACGCTGGTTACTAGATTTTTGCATCATTCTTGTTGTTTGGGTTGTTCTTTTACATAACTGTGGTCCTCCATTGTTTCTACTTCCAACTTGTGAGGGCACAGTGGGAGCAACGTTATTAGTAGTACCTGTGAAACAAAAACGCGATTCCGGCATCCTTTTTGTCCCTTATCATCCAATGTTGGCAAAGATGGCGCATTCACATGGAGAGTCATAAGCTCTCATGGACATTTAAAATTCAAATTTGAAGTCTATGACAAACATTCAAAAACATGACAGAGAAAAAATATTCTTAGAAAGGTCACATTTGTTATTGGTTAACATGTTATTTCATTTGGAGCAACTGTACAAATTGGCTTTAAAGTCCTTCCTACTACCCAGCATCATGCATGTGCTTTTTTATATTGTAGCCACCAGACACCTTTTTTTTGTGAGAAAATAATTAGACTGATACGTGCTGACAAATGTGTCATTTTTTTCAGCTGCCCTCCTCCACAATGTGAAATATAGGCTCTCTGGAATGTGCTGATGTCACATGAACACAACCTATTGACAAATGTGATTGTAGTGTTATTTGTTTTCTAGTATATTCTGAGTGCGTGAGTAGTGTGACCATGGTATTAGTAGAGGAAACACCTGGAGCAGTGTGGTTGTTTGTAGACCTCTTCTTTGTGTTGCATTTGATTTTTTTGAAGCCATCTTACCTGACAGCCGTCGTACAGTGCGTTGATGTAGTGTGTGTTCTCTTGTTTGAGCTCCTCTCCGTCGCTCCCCCTGAAGCGTAGTGCATACTGGTGGGTGTAGGTGGCACTGTGCAGCCAGGCCGCAGAGTTCAGGCAGTGGTAGGTGAAGCTCTGTTTGGCTGTGGCACTCAGCAGCTTCAGGAAGTTCAGTTGCACCACATGGACTGGAGTACCATCGGAGCCCGAGTAGGAGAACTGGAGAAGAAAATTAAATCATCAGAAGCCTTGGCACAAATGACCCAGAAATAAGAAAAAAACCAAAGCCCACCATAAGAAGTGATTAAAACATAAAGTATTAGTGCTTTCCAACAATTTACAAGTATTTATTAACGCCACCGGAGTGCAATGTATGGCAACACTTTATAATAATACTAGATTAATGCACGCATTACCCTATTGATGAGTTCGTGCATTAATCTTTCCGTTAGCACAGGCCCACAAGGAAATCCTGTTCATTCATCTGTGTCCTAAAGTCATGTGTGAGTCACGCAAGTTCATCATTAGGTTTTATTATGATCATAAGGATTCGGCATGAGCTTCATCTTTAAATCAGACATATCCTAAGATTTACTTTTCTCAGCTGATGCCAATGTTCTTGCTGTTTTCCTTGAGATAAACCAAAATCAGCACAGCTATGTAGCGCCAAAGTGTCTTTTATTTAAAGGTGGTCTGTAAATAAAATACACTTGGGAGCTAAATAGCTGTGCCGATTTTTCTTTATTCTCTCAAATTGAGCACCTTTTTTGAATCTAGCGCGCTAGTTCAGGCTACTGGGATGTGCAGCCTTATTTGAAACCTACTTGTTGTTTCTCTTATCATTTAAACATGAACGGTTTTCAGCGCGATTCATGCATGGTTCAGTTATTTTTATACTTTTTTTATACATGTGGTACCATTGCCCACTCCTCTGGCCACCACACCTACCTCCCTTCTCTGGCAATTTTCTTTTTTGAATTCAACAACTTTGTTAATTTTAGCTCAGCATGTAACACCAATACGCCATCTAGTCTGATCAAACAAACTCCTTGACCTCGCTATTAAGTCAGCTCTGTATACCTGGATCATGGACTTCCGCACTAACAGACCACAGCACTTTCAATTGGACAACCGCAGTTCCACTACTGTCCAAATTAACACCAGAGTCCCCCAGGGCTGTGTTTTAAGCCCCTTTCTCTGCAATCTCTGACCAGTGACGAATTCATAACATACGCATATAAAACGGCCTACAGAAAGGAGATAAACCATCTATCCACCTGATGTGCTGATAGCAACTTGCACCTGAACATCACCAAAACCAAAGAACTTATAGTGGATCTCAAGAGGAGAGAAATGGGGAACACAGCCCTGTCTACATCAATGGGGCGGGGGAGAGGGTTTTCAGCTTCCCCTTGAACTCTCACCCTGTTAAAGTATTTTAGACGCACTTTTGCAATATAATCAATAGACTTTAAAAGCAGATTGCTTGTGAAAAAGTCTCTCCATGGCCTTGCACCAAAGTACATCCATGACATGTTGGTCCCATATAAACCCGGGCCGGACAATGAGGAACTAGCATCCTGCTGGTGCCAAGGATCAGGACTAGACATGGCGTTTCAGATTATGCAGTGTAGGGGATCGGGGGGGGGACGCAGATCATAAGTCTCTTTGATCTCCTCCATCTAAAGCAGCCATGGAGACATGAAGTCTGGTATAAGTAACTGAGTTACTCCACTATAAAAGTAACTTGTTACCAGTAAAAGTAACTATTGCGTTACTTTTGTTTCGTTCTGGAACATAATGTGCACTCGACGTGTGCACTTTACTTTTAACCTCAGTGAGTTTGAAATAGTGCCGATAATTCCATCTGGAAAAGGCTGTTTTGCTGCTGGAGTCCTCCTCACTCTCCATCTCTCTCTGTGTACTATAAGCACTAAACACACGCCACTGTGAAAGCGGAAACACCCACCAGTGACGTGTGGTAAGGTTGGTGAGGCACTGACTTCACCCCAATCAGATGTAAATTCATATCATATAAATCAACAGGACCTACAGAGCGGCTTGTTCACAATTTGTTTGACTACAGTAGAATATGTTTCATGCCTGCATTGTTTGCTGATACTGTGAGATTTCATAACACTTTTAAGCAACTTTTGTTAAAGGACAACTCACCCTCAAATCCACTTTTTTTTGCTGATAAACGGTATAAATGAGTGTCCAATAGTGTTGTCTACATATCCTGGTCATAATTTTGTCACTTTGGTGCAAATTAGTTGAAAGTTAAACTTTCTGCCTAAAACCGTCTGTGAGGCGCCATCTGCTGGCGACCTGTATTACTACATTTGAATTTTGTGTTATGTCGAAAGGATTGAACCCAAATGCACCGGACGGTTAACAGGATTTATTGACAGTTGAATGAAGGTAGAACAGGTGAGCAGGAACTGGAATTGGCTTGGACACTGGAGCGGAATGGCAGAGGAGATACGGGTGAGGGGGCTGGCAACTGGCACGAAAATCTGTGAGCATAGAGAAACAGGATCAAAACGGGGATATCAAAAACTAGCACAAAAATAGCAAAAGCCTTGGGTGTAGCCTCACGGTGTAGACTGACAATCTGGCAGAGGACTGAAGAAATGCCCAGGTTTAAATGCAGAGCTGATGCATGATGAGGAGCAGGTGTGCAGGCCAGCCAGGAACAGAGAGCAGGAATGGTCACGCCCACAGTAGCAGGAACAGGAGGGAGGGGGTGAGGAGCTCACAGGGAGCTCAATACCATAACAGTACCCCCCCACTAACGGACACCACCCGGTGGACGAGGCAAATCGGGATGCAGCCGATGGAACTCCCGAACCAGATCCAAATCCAATATAAGGGGACGGGAAACCCAACACCGCTCCTCAGGCCCGTACCCCTCCCAGTCCACGAGGTACTGGAGACCACGGCCCCGACGGCGAACATCCAATAGGCGCCGGACCGTGTACGCCGGAAAATCACCAACAAGACGGGGGGGAGGAGGGGGCACGGCCGGCGGGGACAAGTCACTGACAGAGACAGGTTTGAGCTGTGACACGTGGAAAGTAGGATGAATCCTCAGAGCCCTGGGCAGCTTCAGCTTCACCGCCACTGGACCGACCAGTGACAAGATAACAAAAGGCCCGATGTACCTTGGGGACAACTTCCTCGACTCAGACCTGAGGGGTAAATTCCTCGTCGAAAGCCATACCTTCTGCCCTGGGGCATACTGCGGTGCAGAAGAACGATGGCGGTCAGCAAGGACACGGTTCCTTTCGGTGGTACGAAGAAGTGCTTTGCGAGTGTCACTCCATACTTTATGACAGCGTCTAAGGTGCACCTGCACAGACGGCACAGCAACGTCCACCTCATCAGACGGGAAGAGAGGTGGCTGGAACCCAAGGGAGCACTGAAAAGGCGACAAGCCAGTGGCAGTAGAAATCAGGGAATTGTGAGCGTACTCCACCCAAACCAGACTAGCGCTCCAAGAGGTTTGATTACCGCCAACCACACAACGTAAAGCTGCCTCCAAATCCTGATTAGTGCGTTCCGTTTGGCCGTTGCTCTGCGGGTGGAAACCAGAGGAAAGACTAACATTAGCTCCCAAAGCCTTGCAAAAAGATCTCCATACCTGGGATGTGAACTGAGGCCCACGGTCTGAAACTATGTCCACAGGTATGCCATGGATACGGAAAACATGCTGGACCAAAAGATCAGCAGTCTCACGGGCAGTGGGAAGCTTAGGCAGAGCAACAAAATGAGCAGTTTTGGAAAAACGGTCAACAATTGTCAAAATAACAGAGTTTCCGTCTGAAGGGGGCAAACCCGTAACAAAATCTATAGCAATGTGGGACCAAGGTCTATGAGGAACTGGCAGAGGATGGAGCTTACCCGCAGGCTGCTGATGAGAGGCTTTGCTACGCGCACAGACCGAACAGGCTGCAACATACTCTTACATCGGCTTCCATCGAAGGCCACCAGAAGTGACGGCGCAGATGAGACATAGTTCGTTGGGACCCTGGGTGACAAGAGAACTGTGAATTGTGACCCCAATGCAAAACCTTAGAGCGGACATTCTTAGGAACATAGAGTTTATCCGAAGGTCCTTGAGCCGGACCCGGATCGGCCTGTTGGGCAGCTCGCACTGCTGATTCTACTTCCCACACCAATGTTCCCACAACACACGATGCAGGCAGAATATCTTCAGGAGAAGACGGGGTCACTGAGTACAGTCTGGAGAGGGCATCTGGTTTCTGGTTCTTCGACCCCGGGCGATAAGTCAATGTGAAATTGAACCGGCCAAAAAATAGCGCCCAGCGAGCCTGTCTGGAATTCAAGCGTTTGGCATCCCGAATATAAGCCAAGTTCTTATGGTCAGTCCAAACGATGAAAGGTTGCTCAGCTCCTTCCAGCCAGTGCCGCCACTCCTCTAAGGCTAGTTTAACAGCAAGGAGTTCCCTATTGCCGACGTCATAATTCCGCTCAGAGCAGGAGCGAGACGCTTAGAGAAAAAAGCACAGGGGTGAAGCTTCTGGTCTGCGGACCGTTGAGAGAGGACTGCTCCCACGCCCAGGTCGGAAGCATCTACTTCTACTACAAATTGCTTTGCAGGGTCAGGCTGAATGAGGATTGGTGCGGAAACAAACTTTTGCTTAAGGTTACCAAAGGCTGCTGCTGCTTCAGGTGTCCAAGAAAAAGGAATGGAGGGAGAGGTCAGTTGTGTCAGTGGAGCTGCCACTTTGCTGTAGTCCCTGATGAAGCGGCGGTAGAAATTGGCAAAACCCAGAAAGCGCTGGAGTTGTTTGCGGGTAGTTGGGGCTGGCCAGGCCGCAACAGCAGAAATCTTGCTGGGATCAGCTCTCACCTTCCCGTCTTCAATAATGTAACCCAGGAAACCGACAGACTTGACGTGGAATTCACATTTCTCAGCTTTGACAAAGAGCTTGTTTTCCAAGAGGCGTTCCAGAACCAGGCGGACATGGGAGTCATGCTCCTCCTCACTGCAGGAAAAAATCAGGATATCATCAAGATACACAAAAACAAATCTGTTCAGAAAAATCTCTTAAAACGTCATTAACCAAACACTGGAAGACAGCGGGCGCATTTGTGAGGCCAAAGGGCATGACCAAATATTCAAAATGGCCCAGCGGAGTGTTGAAGGCTGTCTTCCATTCATCGCCCTTCTTTATGCGAACCAGGTGGTACGC